AACTTTTCCCTTTTTAAAAAATATGTGATAAAACTATGAAAGAATATAGAATGCTAGAAATATAAAGAGACATATTCAGTTTATCCAAGTTCACCATTAACTAGGCTACATCTTGTCCATCCTCCTCAGGTGATTTTACCTTCAACAAGGACTTAATAGACTATAACCAAAATTGATTACAAATTACAACAATAAGTCTGATCAACCTTGTTGACAACCCCAACAAGTTTAGTTGATCCTTATTGCCAATTTTGCTCATACTGCAGTTGATGCCTTCTTGAGAATCCTAACTTAACTGAGTCTCTTAAGGAATAACACAATGATACGTTCAGTGATCTCCACGAGATATAACAATCATTGACCCCTTAAGAAATTTGGCCAACCTAGTCTTTCTTAATAGGATTTCATCCACGATGACCGCAGTCAATATTTTCCCAAGTATCAGATCTTCACTAGATCACTTGAGGCAACACCAATTCTAAACAGAGTTGTTTTTCTGGAGATTACATGAGTTCTTCTTAACAATCAGATTACTCCTAGTTTAAGTACATATTGTTTAACATTATTCTGAGCAATGACTCTTGTGTTCAAACAATTTACATGAAAAACTTAAGCTATAACACAATATGAGCAACAACTCTTGTGTTTACATGATTCTACAAAGATGAAAATAATCTAAGTTTGAGTGCAACATCTTGTAGTCTTCTTTGTCTTCATATTCTTTGTTAAACAAGTTATGAGCAACAACTCCTTGCTTCTTCATATTTCTACCAAGATGTATTTTATGAGAATTTAAGTATCATTTTGTAGAATTCTTCTTCTTCATCTTCTTTCTTTGTTTAGCAAGTTATGAGCAACGACTCCTTTCTTCTTGTTTCTTTTCATATCTTCTTTTTATTTCTCTCTTTCTTTTTGGTTAGCTTCAGCATGTTCAGCGTAACAGCTCCAACAGCATCTGCTTCCACGGTTTTTCAGCAACTTTACTTCATTTCATTGATCTCCTTTTATAGCCTTCAAAAAGAGTCATTGTAAGGATAGAAAAGTTATTTCTACTTCCAACGGTTGATTACGAATGGATATATTCAAGAGAGGTTCGGAACAATACGAAATGTCACTTTCCTTAGCCTGTTGCTTGTAGTTGTTAGCATAAAACGTAGGAGACGACTTCTTTGAATAGTACAACCAATATCATGATAGTGGAATTTGTGGTGTACTGTTTATATTGTATTTTTCTTGACTAAGTTTCTTGATCTTTATCTTCTGATGATGTAGTTTTGATTATAAAGTATTAAGCTTGGAAGAGATCAATTACTTTTCCTTTGTTCTTCTGATGATTGACTGATGAGTAGTTCAGAAAATACTTTGTTGTTTGTAGAATAGGAGCATCAGAGTTATCAGAACCGTAACTTGTCTTCATAAATAATAGCAACAACCTTTTTGAAACATGATGTTTGACTTCTAATCTTAGAACTAGTCTTGAAGGAGAACTCCTAATCTGATCTGAGAGATGAAGATTAAGTGAGAGGATGTTTCATTTCAGAATATTTCAATAGTGAATTCTTGTTTTCAGATATATATAAGCATTTTTGTTATATGAGAAACAAGTCTTGTCATTGTAGGCAAAAGATTTTATGATGTTGATATCAAAATCTTTTCTGATGTTTAGATCTTGAAATCAGATATTGTGGTAACAACCTTTCTGATTCTCAACTATTTGAGTTCTTGAGCTTTGATTCTTTTCTTGCTGGATCGATTTCTGATTGAAGAATGATAATAATCCAGAAGATTCTTCTTTGTTGTAGGGTCAGAGTATTTTAGATATTTGAACATTGTCTTCAGATATACAAGAAACAACGTATCTGAAGAGAAACTTCTTTAAGTGAAAGCTTTTTTGATCCACTTAGTCTTGATCTCTTCTTGGTCTTTGATAATCAGCTTTTCGAAGTTGCATATCTGATGTCTGATTTCTGAAGCAAAAGCTTATATCAGTACATCTAATTTTGACGTTGAATTCCTTCTTTCTTATCTCTTAAATTCTGATCTTTAGATTGAGCTAGAAGCAATAGCTTATGTCAGCTACATCTTGGTTTCTAATCTTGAATTATTTTATGGATATCTTAGATCTTCATTTTATATATCTTGAGAGTGGCATTTTCCTAAGAACATACTTGATTCCTTTTCTGATTAACATTCAACATTCTTTAGAACTGCTGATGTTTCTTTAGAAATGGTCACAATAGTTCTTTTGTTAAGTAGATTGACTTGAGAAGATATCATCCTTTGATCTTGTCTTCCACTGGACTATATGATGTTGATTTGAAATGAGTCCACAAGATCTTTCTTTCTTTGATCTTTTCTTCAGATGGAATAATTCTGATGTTGAATACAAGTGCATATTCTATGAACTATCTGAGTCTTCAGAATCTTAACTTTGTCTTCAGATATATGAGCAGTAACTCTTCTAATGAACAAATCTTGACTTCTGAACTTTGCGTTGGAAGCTTGAGTTATTCTTAGAAATCCATCGAGATTCTTTTCTCGTCGAACATTCAGCATTCAACAGAACTACTAATATTTCATTAGAAACGAACTCAATGGTTTTTCTTCTGAGTGATAAAGTGATTCTAATGATATCTTGATTAAGATTATCCAAAATTCTAATATCTGCATACTCAATGAAACTATTAGAACTAAAATTATTTTTCATAAAATATATGCATTGTTATAATCAAAACAGATATTTAAACACAGATCCAAGTCTTGTTCTAACAATAATGAAATCAATTACACACTTCTTACGTACACTCATGTTTGCATGTGAATCAAACTGAACTCTAGATACCAATTGTTAGAGCACAAGGTTGAAGATGAAGATGAAGATGAAAGAAGAAGAGAGAGAAAGATAAGAGAGAGAAAACACTTATAACAAACTTTTGAAGAGAGAAACTCTATTGGAAAAAATCTTGTAAATTCACACTTTGCAAAACTAGTTAGAAGCTTGTTTAAATACACAAACTAAATTGTCACGTAGGCACTACTAACAAAGCTAAAACAAAATAATCTCAGAAGCTAAGCACGCTTTTGAAACTGCAACTTCAAAAGCTTCTGCTTCTGACTAACAATGCTACTTTTGAATATGGATTACTTCTAACAAAATGAACATCATTGTTCTTGCAACAACTATCAATTAATGTAGTGTATATGAAAACATTAGGAGACAAACACGTCTCTTCCATCATAGGTAGAAGCTGGAAACTTTTCATCAGGTCACCGACTTCACAACAACCTTTGATCTTGATTCCAAAACCGTAAACATCTAGAACAACATTGTTCTTTAGCTGTTTGAAAACTAACCATGCTTTGCCAAAGACAATTTGATCTGATAAGTAAGTTCAAAAGATTATTGAATGTGATTGATATAAGAGCATGGCCCAAGTGAATCATCTGGTGCAAGAAATGGAGGACTTCGTCAGGGAGCTGAGAATGAACATAAGCATTAAGATGACAGGTTGAACTAGAGGTGAAATGGGTTTATTTGAACTAGAGGTGTAAACATAATTTACTTTGTTTGTTTGAGTTCTGAGAGAGAGAAAGATATTAAGGTTTATCAACATGAACATACTGCATTTTTCTAAAACTAGAATTTATGAAATAAATTTGCTACTGATTAGCTACGATTTTAACTACCGATTAGCTACAAATTTTATGGGTTCAAGTATGATTTTGACCTTAGCCACATGGCATGACACGTCAATATCTTTTCATATTGGCATTCTCACGTGGTGTGCCACATCAACTTCTTTCTCCATTAATTTCTAAAGTACCCATGTTTCAAACAAAAAAATTGCAACGCAAAACACATGACAATTCAATTGACGACTCCATTGAAAAAATAAGAGGCCTAACCAATTAAATTGACGACCAATAACCATCTTTCTGAATTTTATTTATTATTTTCAAAAAAAATATTATCTTTTTTTTTTTTATTTTCAAGAAAAATATATAATATTTTTTTCCGAAGAAATTATAATTTTCTAAAAAGAAAAAATACTTTTTCTATTAAATTATATTTATTTAGATAAGGATTTTATTTTTTTTGGAAATTTTTTACTTAATTTTTTTTATTTATAATAAATTTTATGTAATATTTTTTTTAAAAAAACAACGAGTCAAAAACAAGGCACAAAAAGTGCCAAATTACAACAACAATCCAAACAACAAAAGAGAAAAAATAGCTAAACAAAACAGCCATGACCACTGAAACAGAGAAACAGCCATAACCCACCAACGTCACAGCTCCTCCCAAAAACAAACAAAGCTAGAGCTCAAAACTATTGTCCCGCCATCAACGGAATAATGAAAATAGTAAACAAAAAGCATAATCATTGCTCACCTCTGAAGAGGGACCGACCTTTGAAACCACAATTGATTTTAGTGTAAGATAAGTTATGAAGGAAATCCGAGAAGAGGAAAGATTTTATTGTTAACATGCAACAAAACCAAGTTCAATTTAAAAAGATACTCTCATTCTCCATTTCTTTTACATTTGTCAATTCAAAACAGTGACATAATATCCAACACCAACAAGCCTATAATGTTGTGTTTTTAAGTATACTTATGAGTCATGATGCTTTAGATTTTTCTCTATCCGAATGATTTAAACTTGTCGGAAAACTATGTAGAGACACTAAGATTCAAGGAGACAAGAATGTAACAATTAAGCTTCATTTAATTGTAACTGCATATTTCATATACTTTAATAATACCAGTACTAATGTACTGAATCATTGATCACCACAAAAATATTTCTTATACCTTACAAACGCCAATAGACCATAAAGCCATATGATGAATGTAACAAAAGAGTAAAAAGCCATAGTTCTTTTATGATAGAATATCTCAGATATATAACACCTAGATAACAAAACCTATATCCTCAGCTACTTTGACAAAACTGAGACTTTAGCAGCTTCATGGGACTTTCTTGCAATCCAAGGAATTTACCATGCACTGGGACTAGCTACCTTGGCCACATAGCTATAATGTCCTCTCCTTCCTCCTCCTCCTCCACCTCTTCCTCCATTTCTTCTTCCTCGATTCATCTGATATTCATTATTGTCATGGTGATATGCATGGTGATATGCAGGGTTCTTAGACCATGACATACTATTCTCTCTCCTTCTGTTATTTCCTTCCCATGTTCTCCAATTTGTATTCCCACCATTGCTTGTTTGATACTTGTTATCCAAGTCACCACCATATTGCTGCTTTGGAATCCACCTTTGAGAATCATTCTGTTCCCAAGAGTTGGTTTCATTATTTTCATGGTTGCATGATCCCCATCCCACAGCAGCATAGCTTGGTTCGGGAGGCTTTTTTACTTCTTCGGCTCCCCATCCCCATCCACAGGTCAGATTTGGTTCAGGAGGCTTTGTTACTTCTTCGTCGTCCCCCCATCCAGTAGGTTCTATTCCCCATCCAGGACCGGAGAGGGACTGATTTAATAGGAGAGAACTTCCCAGAATCACAGTCTCCTGGCTCTTTTCTATCATAGTCCGACGGGCCTCATCTTCTCTATCCAAATCCAGATAGAGTTCAGGATCAACACTCGCATCCCAATCTACGTCATCGACGTACATGTCCGGATCAGGCAACGGAATGTTGCAGGGAAATCCATTAATCTCAGCCCAAAACCTGTTTTTTGCATTGTCAAAAGTCTCTTTGACAGCAGAGTCTTCCCAGTTTACCACATTGGAATGCATATACATATACCTCTTGCCTTCTATTACCTTTTTCCATGGAACTGAGCCAACCGAAGCACAAAATTTCTTTTCCCATGATGGAACTGTTGGAAACCTATTATCTGTGAACCAAAAGAATTAAATAGAATGAAATGATAATTCAAGATATAACTTATTATCACACTGATATTGCATTGCATGACACTAAAAGATCTAATTCGTAGATTCGCACAGTTTCAGTTTAAAACACGATATATAGTTAGCATAAAGAAGAATGTAGTTAAATAAACACGAAATTTAGTTATCTTTGGAACGGATTGCTCTATTTCAATTCAACGATGTTACACACAGATCATCTCGGCGATCCGAGCCTAACCAATAGATACCTACTCGAACATTCCAAAATCAATATATTTTCAAATCATATATAACCAAATCAACACAGTGAAATAGAATGTGGCTAAACAGATTTGATTTCTAAGTATTCAATTTGAAATAGTACAACCACAGCCAACATGAATTCAAAGCAGAACACAGACAAAAATGATTACAAAACACAATCTGCAGAAGATCCAATACAAACAGAAACGTAGTTATCTATCACCACTGTCCATTTCAATAATTGAACAACGTAGGGACCAACCTAACAACCAGCCTGATGAAAATGAAAAACACCATTAACAACCTAGCAACCTAGCAACCTACCAACCAAATAAATGACAACATTCCATATCCTTCGAGACACTCCCTTCAATTATTGAAACTCTTAGTTTAATTTTCTTGACAACAAAATTGAACCTAAACCAAACCCTCCATCAACATAATCACACACACAACACAAACAAGTACAAAATACAAGCTCTAAGTCTCTTCTCACAAAAGGGTTTTCATAATACCAAAATTTCTGATTCAAAACCAATAAATGAAGAAAAAATCCCAAATTTAAAACCAAAAAATCCCCAATTGAAAGTAATCCATGCAAAAACAAACGAAAGAAAGATAGAGAAAACAAAAAGACACTAACCTAAAGGTGGTTTTCCATTATAAGATGAGGATCTCCAGTGACCCACTTGATGATTACTGATCTCTTGGTTTTTTCTCCAATTATCCATTTCAATAAGCAACAAAGAAATAGACCCAAAAGAGAAAATTGAATCTTTCTTATCGATTACAGGGAACAAATACAATTGAAGAAAAAATTAACAAACTTTGAGAAATTGAAGGGAAAATGATTATGGAATTAGAGAAAGAACAAGATGATTGTGACTATGATTTTGACACAGACAAGAAGTTTTCCGAGGTTTGTTGTTGCTTCCATAAGAGATATCCTTTGGGTTTGTACTTGATTGTGTATTTATAGCAACACGTTTGCTCTTTTCTTTCATTCACATTCACTCTTTGAGGCTAAATTAGGAAATTGCTTTTTCAATTTATAAGATTTACTAAAATGGAATCTAAAATTTGAAAATTAAATCTTTTTAGAAAATTATATTTTAGTTAGTAAGTTTGACCAATATCGAATCTACATTTTAAAAATTAATAAATAAATGCATTTTGGAAATTATTTTCTTAATTATTAAGATCGACCAAAATATAATTTAAATTTTGGAAATTAATAAAGAAATGCATTTTGGAAATTATTTTTTAATTAATAAGATTTACTAAAATTGAATTTAGAATTTGAAAATTAAATTGCACAAAAAAAAATCAAAAATTAAAATAGTTAAATAATTATTATTTTTTAAATTAAAGATTAACCAAAATTGAATATGTAATAGGTATTAAGGGTATAAAGTGAATTTTGATTGATTGACAATTTACGCAATGATTTTGGAGGAATACATTATTTCATGTTGAAGATTTTGTGTTCCCTACCTATTTGAAGATTGATATTTGTAGACATATGCAAATTTATGATATGTATATTGTGTCAGGGGTGGTAGGTAGGGATGTTTTTGGGTTTCAGGAATCGAGATCAACCCGAAAATTGGACTGGTAGATCTGGTCTATTGGACCGACCGAAATAAGGCATGGATTGGTAATATATAAAATTTTAATTTGATTCTGAATGAAGATCCAGACCAATTATCCAATGAGTAATCGAAGCAAATAATATAAATTTTGTTTTCATTTCCTCACTTTTTCTCATTCCTTCAGTTACGCTCCACATTGTTAAGACTATAGCTAAATGAGATAGATTTATTGTAATTGTGTGGATAAAAGGAGCTTTATCAATATTGCTTTTTTTAGTTAGTTAGTTACATTTTCTGATTGGTTGTTAAGTGATAGCAATACACTATATATGGATAAGGCTATCACACGTGTAATAACAACAAACTATTACTCTTTTGCCCATTATCTTCTTCCTTCTTCATTTTCGTTTCTTGTTATTCTCTTCTTCAATGGTGAAATAGCTTCACCACAATATGGTATCATTCGCCAATTCGATCCTTATTCCGCTGTTTTTCAATTGAAGTTTTACCTCGTGCGTTCTTCCCTCTGCATCCATGGCTCCTCCTCGAGCTTCACCTCTTGATCCAGCTTTGGATCAAACTTCACCATACTTCGTTCATCCCAGTGATGGCCCCGGTTCGGTTACATTTCTTCCTAAGCTGACTGGTTCTAACTATCATTCATGGGCTCGAAGCATGAAGAGGGCGCTCGGTGGAAAAATGAAGATTGAGTTCATTGATGGATCTCTTCCTACTCTTGTTGATTCTTTTGATCCATCCTTGCGTGCTTGGAATCGCTGCAACATGTTAGTACACTCTTGGATCATGAATTCAGTTTCAGATTCTATTTTATAGTCCATCGTCTTCTTGGAGAATGCACTTGGTGTATGGAATGACTTGAAAGAAAGGTTCTCTCAGGGCGATCTCATTCGTATTTCTGAGCTACAACAAGAAATATACAACCTCAAGCAAGAAACCAAATCGGTAACTGATTTCTTTTCTGAACTTAAAATTCTTTGGGAAGAATTAGATTTGTATTTTCCTTTACCAACTTGCACATGTCGCATCAAGTGCTCTTGTGAAGCTATGCGCAGTGCAAGATCCAACCATCAACTGATGCAAGTTATCAGATTCTTGACTGGTTTGAATGACCAATTTGCTATTGTTAAGTCCCAAATTTTGTTAATCGATCCTTTGCCAAATATGAATAAGATATTCTCCATGGTTATTCAACTTGAGTGACAACTTCAAATTCCTATTTCCAATGATGAGTCCCAAACTCTGATTAATGTTGTTGATTCCAAGAAATATGGTACAAGAAACAATACATTCAGGCATGGAGCTCGTGTCTGCACTTTCTGTGGCAAGACTAATCACACCGTTGAAAATTGCTTCAAGAAACATGGTGTTCCACCACATATGCAGAAACAGTTTCAGAATTCAGCTAACAATGTTGCATCAGATGGCAATGATGATGGATCTTCTTCTAATGGTGCTGACATCAAAAGTGATAATTCACCTATGACTCAAGGCCAATTCAACACTCTAATGGAGCTAATTCAGAAGTTCAGCATTGGCCAATCTTTAGGATGTGCTTCTTCTAATCAAGTTGTTGTTGGTCATCTATCAACAGGTAACACATCTCATTGCATGCATAGTAGTAGTAGTAATAGTTCTTGGATCATCGATTCAGGAGCTTCTGATCACATATGTAGTTCTATCAGATGGTTTCACTCATATAAGCAAATTATTCCAATCAATGTTAGATTGCCAAATGGACAATTCCTTGTTGCTAGCTATTCTGGTACAATTCATTTTCCCCTGATTTCATTGTGCACAATGTCCTTTTGCTTCCTAAATTTTCTTTAAATCTTTTATCTATTTCCAAAGTTTGTGCATCTTCTAATTGCAATGTAAGTTTTCTCAACTCATAATGTTTTATACAGGACAAAGTCACTCTAAGGATGACTGGTTCTGCTGAGCAAAAGGATGGATTGTACTACTTAACACTAAGAGATAATGCTTCACCTGCTATAGCAGCCACAGTCACCTTACCTGAAAAAGCCTTATGGCATTTTAGATTAGGACACTTATCCAATAACAGACTCTTGTACCTACATTCTCAGTTTCCCTTCATCATAGTTAACCATAAAGATGTTTGTGATGTATGTAGTTATGCTAGACAAAGAAAACTTTCCTATACTGTTAGCAATAATAGAGCTGCTCATCAGGTACATCCAAAGTTATTTATCCAATTTCAAATTATGATTCATTACATTTTCTGTCTGCATCTCATCGTGCTTTTGCATCTAATATCACTCTCATTCATGAACCAAAGACTTACAAAGAAGCATGTCTATCTGAACATTGGACCAAAGCCATGAAGACTGAATTAGATACATTAAACAAGAATAAAACTTGGAACATAGTTGATTTGCCACCACACGTCAAACTAATTGGTAACATATGGGTGTTCAAAGTGAAGCATAGAGCAGATGACATGATAGAGAGGTATAAAGTGCGACTTGTGGCCAAAGGCTACAATCAAATTGAAGGACTTGATTTTTTGACACGTTTTTACCAGTAGCAAAGCTTACAACTGTCAGGACCCTCCTTGCGACTGCAGATATCAACAATTGGTTCTTACATCAACTTGACGTTAACAACGCATTCTTACACGGAGAATTGAAAGAAGACGTGTACATGACCATACTTGAAGGGGTTCCATGTCACAAACCTAATCAGGTATGTAAACTTTAGAAGAGTTTATATGGTCTGGAGCAAGCAAGTCACAAATGGTATGAAAAGTTAACTGCTCTTTTATTGCACCAAGGGTACACTCAATCTGCTTCTGATTACTCCCTTTTTACTTTGAAAACTGATGCACATTTCACAGCCATTTTAGTATATGCTGATGACATAATCTTAGCTGGCACTTCTATGTCTGAATTTGATCGTATCAGGCTCATTCTGGATAAAATGTTTAGTATCAAAGGCCTGGGAATATTGAAGTATTTTCTTGGCCTCGAGGTTGCTCACTCAAAGGCAGGCATTTCTTTATCACAGCAAAAATACTGTTTTGATCTCTTGCAGGAATCTGGTATGCTTGTATCTAAACCAGCTCCCACACCTTTTGATCCATCTGTCAAGCTACATGCTGATAGCGGCAAAGCCTTTGAAGACATTGGAGCTTATAGGCGTTTAATAGGTCGCTTGCTGTACCTTAACATAACACGTCCAAATATCACATATGCCACCCAACAACTTAGCCAGTTTCTTCACAATCCAACAATGGCACACTACCATGTTGCTTGCAGAGTCATATGCTACTTGAAGAATAGCCCTGGTAGAGGAATTATGTTTCGTAGGAATGCAGAATTGCAACTTCTTGGCTTCTTAGATTCTGATTGGGCAGGGTGTATTGATTCAAGAAAGTCTATTTCGGGCTATTGCTTTTTCCTTGGAACTTCTCTTATATCATGGCGTGCGAAGAAGCAAGATACTATTTCCAGATCATCTTCAGAGGCAGAGTATCAGGCACTATTGTTTGCTACATGTGAATTGCTTTGGTTGATAGCTCTCATGAAGGAATTGCACATCACATGTACCAAACTCCCTGTCCTGTACTGTGACAGCCAAAGTGCAATGCATATTGCACTCAATCTGGTATTTCACGAACGAACCAAACACCTTGAGATTGATTGTCATTTAGTCTGCGAAAAACTGCAGCAAGGCTTACTCCGGCTTCTACCAATTTCAACTCATGAACAACTAGATGATTTTCTAACCAAAGCTTTATCCACTTCAACTTTCAATAAGTTCATTTCCAAGCTTGGCATGATCAACATTCACCATGCTTAGCTTGAGAGGGGCTGTTAAGACTATAGCTAAATGAGATAGATTTATTGTAATTGTGTGGATAAAAGGAGCTTTATCAGTATTTCTTTTTTTAGTTAGTTAGTTACATTTTCTGATTGGTTGTTAAGTGATAGCAATACAATATATATGGATAAGGCTATCACACGTGTAATAACAACAAACTATTACTCTTTTGCCCATTATCTTCTTCCTTCTTCATTTTCTTTTCTTGTTATTCTCTTCTTCAATGGTGAAATAGCTTCACCACAATGCACATGTCTCTCCTTCCTTCCTCTGACGAC